GCTTGTAGCGCACTCCAGTTTCGAAGGGTCCAGCTCGAGCAGATGGCCTGAGTACGAAACTCTCGTACTCGAGTCTAGAGTGTGAGCTTTTTTCTTCTTTTTTTTCACTCCTTCACTTGGCTACTTTTTTTAGGTGCATTTTTTACTTGTGGGAATTGTCACCTGTCAGAGAAGTGTTGGGATGTCCCTTCCAGCAGGCACTGGCCATGCCCATGGTCGGCTTCGGAAAAAGAGTAGAATAAAAGCGTTGGAGTCTATGTGGATGTCTTGGAAGGAATGGGGGACGGCACAGACGGGTACGTGAATGTGTAAAACCTGAGTATTTTGTATTTTCGTTGAATTGGTTCAAGTTACTTGGCGAGTCCCTTCCACAGTAGAACGCCATCCTTCGCAAAATTTGTCTGACTATTTTGTCAAGAATGGCCGTTCTATAATGATCAATCGACTCTGAAGCCAGTGAATTGTGGAGGTCGCCCTTGAATATAAATTGAAATGGTCACGAATGTACGAAAGTATTTTTGATTCGAACATGTACTGGACAACGTGGTTGCATTGTGTCAGTAGAGGGTACTACTGTAGTATCTCACCATTTCTTTATGGTAATCGCTGTCCACCAAGAACTCTACTATAGTTATTGCCACGGCTTGATCACAGCGGTACACTATGTGTTTCACATCACTCCTGACGAGAATAAGCATTTGAAAGCAACACTGGCTGACAGCAATCATGCTCCCCAGGCTCAAGTGTGTGTGTGTGTTACAAGGGTGTGCATGGCAATTTGGTAGAGTATGTTTGAACACAAAGTACACTATATATTCACAAACTCAAGTACATCGCAAAATTGTGCCTTCGTATCGTATATTGTGCCTTCATAACTTTGACTAGCCCTAACTTGCTGTCTGACAGGTGTGTCATTGGTGAATGTACATGTACACTGTCTCCCTTCACAACTACGTGCATGTAACACAATATTTACAGTGCACTTGCAGTGTATATAGCTAGATCAATGCACAGTAATCAGTAAATTGTGGCTGCCTCTGTCACATTGTCATATTCACGCGACGTACATTCTAAATCATCGAAAATGCCCAAACCTATTTCTACGTGTGCAGAAGAAGATTGAACACATTCTTTGAATTTCTTTCCTTGCATCTGCGCCTTGATCCTTGAAGGATGATGGTGTTCCTACGGATGCGGAAAACTCGGCCTCTAGCCGAGTCTGACGCGAACCGTGAATTGTTTTCCTTGACATTGGTTGATGGCATCAGTCACATCTAAGAGTGACACTCTATCTCAAACATATTTACGCAAAGAAGTAGTAATCTTATCTTCATTGGAGCGATGGTCTGCAGGCGTGCGATCATGTGTGTGCCTTGTGTGTGTGTGTGTGTGTGTGTGTGTGTGTGTGTGTTTAGTCACTGTTTACACGCACGTTTGTGCGTGTGTGTGTGTCTGTCTGTCTGTCTGTCTGGCCTGGTATGAGGTTGGTCAGGATAGGTCTGCCTGGCGGGTGGACTGTCTTATCTGGCATCGGTCATTTCGCCAGCCAGGTGACAAACAAGGCACAAATGTGGTGCAGAGCAAAGTCTCCCCATCCAGGATCAGCGTGGTGCTGTGCAATGTGGTACATGCAGAAGGTGGTTTCACTCTCGTGGTGGCCTGCGTGTGCATCATTGTTTGCCCCTGCAACCATCGAAAGTGTCCGCACCGGCATCATCTATTCCGCTCAGCGTCCATGCTTCTCTCTTGTGTTTGACATGCAATCGGCAATTCAAGCCAGTGCCTGGTTTCAGACGTCACATGTGCGACCGTGGCCATCGGGCAACCAAGTCTGACAGAGCATCATATTGTGTCCGCTGTTCTCGCTGCAGCCGTCAGTTCCGTCGACAGAGTGACCTGAGTCGTCATCTCCGTTTCTGCTCCTGACAACGACTCCGGCTTCTTTCGGAATGGTGTGGCCCTTGGGCAACCATGCTACAGTAGCAGTAGTAGTAGTAGTAGTGTGTGTGTGTGTGTGTGTGTGTGTGTGTGTGTGTGTGTGTGTGTGTGTGTGTGTGTGTGTGTGTGTGTGTGTGTGTGTGTGTGTGATGTCACGTGCAGCCAGGAACAACTGCCGTCATGAATTCAAGCATTGCGAAAGACGGTTCTCAAGGCCACAGGACTTGCAACGCCATGCCAAATATTGTTGACTTTGCGATTTCTCTCTTCTCTTCTCTCTTCTTGTCGTTGTCTCCCGCTTCTGGGAGCGGCGTGGCCCGATAGGGTAGCTGTACATAGTAGTAGTAGTAGTAGTAGTAGTGTGTGTGTGTGTGTGTGTGTGTGTGTGTGTGTGTGTGTGTGTGTGTTCTGCCTCGCCTAATAGCTATCATCGCCTTCGGCGATGGGCTTTCCAAAGGTCCAAAGGTGTGTGTGTGTGTGTGTGTGTGTGCGCGCGTGTGTGTCTGGAGCGCCACCGGGTGACGTGCTCTTTCTCTCTCTGCTGCCCCTCCGGGGCCCACGTGACCCTAGTGGTAGTGGCTCGACAGGACAGGTGTGTGTGTGTGTGTGTGTGTGTGTGTGTGTGTTTGCATGTATGCATGTGTGTGTTTGTATGTATGCGTGTGTGTGTGTGTTTGTGTGTGTGTTTGTGTGTGGTATGTGTGTGTACACTTGTGTCAATGTGTATTGCAGGGTTGGGTGGGCTAGTAGAGAAGAGTAGCTGTATACGGACATGTACATGGGATATGTAGGTGTGCATGTACATGTAGCAAAGCAAACTTATCAAAAAGGCATTCTGCGCCTATATGGCGAAATTGAGCATTGAAGCATATGTTTTTTATTTTCTCATTGGCATGTACACAGTTAGTCCATTCAATAACCAAAAAATGAGGAAGATTCTAAATCAGGTTCTTGATGAAATACCCGTCCGCTATACATCACAAATCCTGTACAAATTTGACAATTTAGTGAAATTGTCATCGCCTATATCTCAAAAGTTAGCATTGAGACCCCGTTTTTTTAACTCGCCATTTGCATACACTACCTAAGAGCAACCGCCCACCAAATTTTCAGAGCAATCGTTAATTTTTTTGAAATAGGCGTGAGCCACCTTAAAGGAGTTTCTGGGTTTTTGTGGTCTGCCTGACGATGGTTAGTTGCGGGACCAAGTCGCACCGCAACATTTGGTAGCAGAGGATGGTTGTAGTATAGTAGTCACGTCTAGGCAGTAGTACTAGAACTAGTAGTAAGAGTAAGACAGAGACTCAGTAACTGAAGCAAGAATGCCAGAAACCACGAAGAAGGAAAGAACACTGGCAAAGGCCCAGTTCACCAACAGCAGAAGAGCGCTGCTAGTAGAGATAAACAAGGAGGAAGCGGACAAGAAGGAGATACTAAGGGCACTGGATGGCCTCAGTGCTCTTGCCACATCCACCATCGCCTGTTGTGTGGAAGGTGATGCCACAGACTGGTATGAGGAAGTCCAGCTGTTGGAACAGCAATATGCCGAAGCGGTATCGAGAGCAGGGGATGTGCTGGAGCAGCTGAGAATAGAAAGGCCCAGCAAAGCCACCAGCATCAGCCACAGCCCCGCAACCAGAGAACGTGCGGCAAAAATCAGAGAAGTAAGGTCGTTGCTGAAAGAGAAACTGTATGACGAAGAAGATGAGGAAGAAGAGGAGGTACCAGGTGTGGATGTAAGTGAGAGTGCAGGTGTCTACCAGAGTAAAGTAAAAAGCAACGCACCTGTAAAGCGTACATGTATGTCTGACACGCCCACAACGTCAACCCAGGGAGGGGTCACGTCATCGTTGTCGGCGGTTACTATGGCAACGGCGTCGCGAGAGCCGAAGGCATCTGAGCTTAGCCAAGCCAGAATGAAACAAGAGCCATTAGCAGCCAGAACTGTGGCACCGAGCAGCACGGGTTCACAACGGGTACCCATGGCAACGGGTTTCGTGACTATGGCCACTGGCACAGCAGTCATACAGAGTACACCAAGTACATCAGCTACTACTAGGGACTTCACCCGGCGTACAGGTGCGCCATTGGCGTTGAGCCAGCAGTACCCCGCACCGAATCCGGCGTACACAGCACCGAATCCGGCGTACACGGCACCGAATCCGGCGTACACTGCACCGAATCCGGCGCACACGGCACCGAATCCGGCGTACACTGCACCGAATCCGGCACCGCAGCAGCAGTCTCAGTCGGCACCGCAGCAGCAGTCTCAGTCGGCATACACGTATACGCCTCAACAGTATGCACCGCAGCAGCAGTCCCAGGCAGCATACACGTACACTCCGCAACAGCAGCAGTTCCAACCGTCATACACGTACACTCCGCAACAGCAGCAGTCTCAGCCGTCATACACGTACACGTCGCAACAGTACCTACCGCAGCAGCAGCAACAGCTGCCATCGACGTATACGCCACAATATCAGCCGCAGAACGTGCAACAGCCACAGTACCTGCGAACAAGTCAGCCACAGACAGACATCACCAAGCACATGAAGAAAGTTTCTATTGCCACGTTTGCCGGCGACAAACGGGAATACGAGGCTTGGAAGGCGGCTTTTGATGTATCCATTGATCAGCAGGCAACTTCAACAGAAATGAAGATGCTGCAACTTAGGCAGTACCTGTCTGGCGAAGCTCTGGCGGTCGTACAAAACCTGGGTTTCACGCCATCAGCGTATAGTGCGGCACGCAGACGGCTTGAGAAGAGGTACGGCGGACAGAGGAGGTTGGTGGCCGTCCATATGCAAGAACTAGAGGACTTCCCTGCAGTGAAAAACAGAGCAGCAGACTTTGAGAAGTTTGCAGATTTGCTAGAGGTGGCGGTGGTAAAAATGACGGATGCCGGCATGACCAGTGAACTCGGTACGGGTACTTTGTATACACGTATGCAGAAGAAGCTTGCAACGGAAAACCTCGTCCAGTATCATCGCTGGGTACAGGAGACCAATGCCAATGAATCTGTGACGACTCTTCTAGATTGGGTGAATCGAGAAGCCGAAATAATGGCTACAGCGTCGGAAACCATTGACGGCATCGCCAGTACTGCCAGCAGCAGACAGCGACGTGGTGGTTTCAATGACCGGAAACCGAGAAACACAGAGTCGTCCGGAAGAGTCTTCCTAGCAGAGAAGAAGAGCGAGAGCTGTGCCGCTTGCAGCGAGCAGCACCCAGTCTGGAAATGTCCGTCTTTCAAGGCAAAGACCGTGGATGAACGATGGGACCTGGCAAAAGAGAAAAGGCTATGCTATCGATGCCTTGGGTCAGGTCACTGTGGAGCGCAGTGTCCCAGAACCAGACAATGCGGTGTGGATAAGTGCAGCGACACCCACAATTGGTTGCTGCATCGTAAACCGAAGTTCGACAAGGTACACAGCGAACCGGATCGCAGCACTGAAGGGGAGCGACCTTCAAGGCACAACGTCGGCAACGTTATGTCAGCGAGTAACGTCAGCGCAGCACCAGGGTCACTGCGCACTGTGCCAGTGTTGTTGAGCAACAACGAGCGGACCATACGGGTCAACGCGTTCCTGGATGACGGCGCGACGCAGACGCTGATCAGCGCAAGTGCCGCAGGCGCACTTGGTCTCCGCGGAGAGACGAAGAGGATTACAATGTCTACTCTGAATGGGCACCAAGAGACGTTTCAGAGTATGCCAGTCACTGTCACACTGTCTGACTTGACCAAGAAGACAAGCGTGGACATCTGTGCTAACACGGTACCAGCAGTATCTCGGTCGCTAACACCAGTAGACTGGGAGATTGTCAAGAAGAGCTGGCCACACTTGGAGAATGTCAAGTTCCCGAAGCTCAGTGATTGGTCGACAGTTGACCTTCTGATTGGTATTGACAACAGCAGCCTGCATGTATCGCTAGAAGAAGTCATCGGTGGTCCAGGTGAGCCAAGTGCCCGGAGAACACCACTCGGCTGGACATGTGTGGGTCCCATCAGTCAAACGGCAGGAGACTCCCGGGTATCGGCCAGCGTGCACCATTGTCTGATGACTCAGTCAGACGCCGACCTCACTCAGCTGGTGAGGAAGTTCTGGGAAGTAGACAGTCAGCCCGTGGCAGATGGAGCGGCACTTCTAACCCCAGATGAGCGACATGCACAGGAGACGGTCGCAAAGTCGATCAAGCACATTGGAAGCCAATACAGCGTTGGCATTCCATGGAAGGATCACCCGCCCGGAGCTAATGCTAGCTACCACACTGCTCTGAAGCGTTTGGCCAACACCGAGCAGCGGCTGAGGCGAGACGCAGCAGTCGGAGAAGTCTACGCCGCTACGATAGCGGAACACATCAGCCAGGGCTATGTGCGCCGGGTGGACGCCGCAGACGTCAACGACGGAAACTCGTGGTACTTGCCCCACTTCCCGATAGTCAAGCCGGACAAGACCACAACAAAAGTACGCATCGTGTTCGATGCCGCAGCGAAGTCGAACGGCAAGTCATTGAACGACTTCATCTTGCCCGGCCCCAAATTACAGCAAGACCTGGTGAATGTACTGGTTAGGTTCCGTCGTGAGCCGATAGCACTGGTCTGCGATATTGCCCAGATGTACCTCCGTATCAGCCTAAATCCAGACGACCGGCGCTACCATCGATTTCTGTGGCGCACAGACCCAAGTAAGCCACCGGAAGTTTACGAATTCTGCAGCGTGGTGTTCGGAGTCAATGCTTCGCCATTCCTAGCGCAGTACGTGTCGCAGCAGCATGCCAGATCGCTCAGCTCCGATATGCCGCAAGCCGCTAGTGTCGTGCTGGACTCCACATACATGGATGATAGCATGACGTCAGCACCTGATGTTGCAGCAGCCAAGTCATTATACGCGGATTTGTCGGATCTCTGGGGCCAAGCGAACATGCACGCGCGGAAGTGGCTCTCTAACTCGGCGGAGGTTCTGGCTGAGATCCCACAAGCTGATCGGGCAAGTCAACTGGAGCTCACGGACGAACAGCTGCCGAACATCAAGACGCTCGGCGTCCTCTGGCAAGCCGAGATCGACATGTTTACCTTTCAGTACAAGGTGCCAGATTTCACACGTCTGACCAAGCGGCAGTTTCTGCGTATTCTGGCAACAATATTTGATCCGCTCGGCTTTCTAGCCCCGTACATCGTCCGAGCCAAAGTCCAGTTCCAATCCATGTGGATCGAAGGCTTCGATTGGGATGCAGACTTGCCAGATGATCTCGTCAGTGCAGCTGAAGCGTGGTGCGCCGAGCTACCGGATTTGAAAAGAGTTCAAATTCCGAGGTGCCTGCGACAATCAGCAGCGACAACAGCAACTAGCAGCGTGGAAGTGTTTGTGGATGCCTCCGAAAAGGCGTTCGGCGCAGTCGTCTACATCCGGCAGCAGTTCAGCGATGGCAGCGACTCAATGCGTCTCGTCGCGTCGAAGATGAAAGTCGCCCCGCTTGCTGTCCACAGTATTCCGAGGCTGGAATTGATGGCCGCAGTTCTTGGTTTGCAGCTAGTGAAGTCTCTTCTACCTTCGCTTGATCTCACAATGAGTACTGTCACGTTCTGGTCTGACAGTGCTGATGTCCTCTACTGGATTCGTGGACAGAGCCGAAAGTACAAGCCGTTCGTTGCTCACAGAGTCGGCACAATTCAGACAGCGAGTGATCCCGACCAGTGGAAGCATGTAGCTACTACCCGCAACCCAGCCGACCTGTTGACGCGTGGTATGTCTGCAAGTCAGCTCGCAGATTCCCAGTTCTGGTGGTGCGGTCCAGACATGTCCGGGTTACACACGCCGTCCCCAGGAAAGGCATTGTCAGCAACAGCGGCGGCAGAGCTGAAGAAGCCTGCAGTTGAGATAGCTCATTTCAGTTATCTGGCGATCGCCGCCTTGCCCGCATTGGATCCAGAGCGCTACAGCAGCCTCCTCAAGCTGGCCCGGGTCATTGCCTGGATCAATCGCTTCTCAAGCAACGCAAGACGCCTGAACACTGAGCGAGTGTCAGGCCCCCTGTCCGTAGATGAGATCCGCAGCGCCGAGTATGTCATCATACGTCAGTGCCAGCAGTCAGCCTTCCCAGAGGAAATCAGTGCTCTACAGCGGGGAAAGCCTATCTCTCCTAAGAGTGTGCTGAGCAGCTTACAGCCGCAGCTCGACGAAGATGGTATTCTGAGGTGTGGTGGTCGGTTGCGCTATGCAGAGCATATTTCGGATAATGCCAGGTGCCCGATCATTCTGCCCCGCTCGAGCAGAGTAACCACTTTGATAGTGAAACGAGCACACGTCCGCCTGTTTCACGTCGGTGGAACCAACCAGACCTTGGCAGCGCTCAGCCAACGGGTTTGGATAGTTTCGGCCAGAGAAGCTATTCGTGAGTATGAGCAGCAGTGTCAAGCGTGTCGACGGCAGAAAGCAAAGACCCTGCAGCAGGTCATGGCTCCTCTACCGAGTCACCGTACGAAGCCGTCATTGAGTGCGTTCGCTACAACCGCGGTTGATTTCTGCGGACCATTCTTCACGAAGCAGGGTCGAGGACGAGCCCAGTGTAAGCGGTACATGGCTGTCTTTACTTGCACCGCTACGCGAGCAGTTCATCTCGAGCTGGTGAATGACCTCACCACCGATGGATTTCTCAACTGCTTGAGTCGGTTTGTCAGTCGTCGTGGAACGCCTACAGATATCATCTCGGATAACGGCACCAACTTCGTCGGCGCAGTCAATGAGCTGCAACAGTTGGTCGGCGAAGTCAACCAGCAGCGAGTAGCCAACAAGTTGTCTGCTATTGGAGTGACTTGGCACTTTAACCCACCAGCAGCACCTCACTTCGGAGGAATTCATGAGTCCATGGTCAAGAGCGCCAAGAGAGCAGCCTACGCCATACTCACCCGAGCAGATATCACCGATGAAGAGCTAGCAACGTGCTTTGCCTCAGCTGAAAGCATGCTCAACTCGCGTCCCCTAACGTATCAGTCAGCTCACCCGTCGGACGACATTCCATTGACGCCAAACCACTTCCTCATCGGCCAAGTCGGTGGTCAGTTCGCACCAGCTTGCAGCGAAAGTAGCTTCAGCCCGCGCAGGCGCTGGCGCGCTGTGCAGCATCTGATTGGTCAAGTGTGGACTCGCTGGATGAGAGAGTGGGTGCCTCTTCTCAACCCAGCCAAGAAATGGAGGCAAGAGTTGCCAGACCTGAAAGTCAACGACGTGGTTGTAGTGGCATCTAACGACACACCACGTGGGCAATGGCCGTTAGCACGAGTAATGGAAGTCTATCCCGGTAAGGATAACCATGTACGAGTGGTGAAGCTGCGTCTAGCAACCGGTAAGAGCCTTGTGCGGCCTATTGCTAAGCTATGTCCGTTGTGTTGAAGCCCCCGCGGTTCATCAAGGTGGGGAAAATGGACAGGAGACTGCGCTCTTGAACATTATCCTTTCATGTTGTCATATGTTGCACGTTGATACTATTAGTGTATTGTAGTTACGAATTGTGTACAGAACTGTCACATGCTGCAAGGACAGTATTGTCAAGACATGCTAGGTCGCTTGCAATACTGGTGCGGTGCGTATTACTGCTATGCATTTCGCGAGTGTAATAATTATTTTGTTAGTCCGTTAGAATTACATCACGAGTGCATGTCTGTTACGTCTACGTCGAGACGCATTTTACGACACAGTAATTGCTATGCGTGTTCGTACCACGCCATGTTCACGAGCGGAATATCTTGTGAATTGTTCTAATGTATTATATAAGTAGAATTGTTGACACACTAATTGGTTGCAATGTACATGTACTTACTAGTACTTGATCCGTTGCATTATCGCCATCCGCGGCAACTCCGCTACGATCTACTTGGCGAAACTTACTCTCGCTGACAGGGTGTGCTGTCACCCTGTCGCTGGGTGCAAGCACCCCTTGACAGACACTGTTTTCACCTCCGTAACCAACAATTCTTTATTCTTTCACTCCAGCACATTGCAAGTCATTATTAGTTTCTGCTTGTCCTGCATTTCAAATTATTGCTTTTCTTTTCGTTGCATGCACTCGTACTCGTCCGCGCTGCACGCGGACTTTGGCAGTCGCCATATTTAGTATCTCTATGGCTACGATGATCATGCATTTTCTGTACGCTGCATTTTTCTCTCTATGCCACGTCGTTGTGTGCATGCATGCAGCGCAAGCCAAATGCACGCACGCTGCACGTTTTGCCCAGGACAGCGATTTGGCGATCGTTGTTCGGTGTGTTCTTTGGTGTTCTTGTTGAAACGAGTGGTAATGTCGATTAAAGGAGTTTCTGGGTTTTTGTGGTCTGCCTGACGATGGTTAGTTGCGGGACCAAGTCGCACCGCAACAAATAATAATAATCTTTATTTCAGGATTACCCAAAGGCTAACGCCTATCTGGGGGATCTCCTATTTGTGTATGTACTAGTAACATAGTTATGGATGAAAGTGCGAAATAAGAAACACAAGGAAAGAAAGTAAGACATATCACACTGCTAGCTCTACAGCCTCCTGCCTACAACATCCACACGCATTGATCACCACCTCCTGCCCACACCATCCACACACTCTGCGCTAACACTGCACTGCTAGCTCCTGCCTTCAACAACCACACACGATCAGGGAATATTCTTATAATGCCCTCCCCCCCCCCCCCCCCCCCCTAGAGTAATGAGTGTCTGAACAGGGGTATAGCCCCATACGGTTCAAATGGGCACAAGATCGAGACCCTACCCGGCAACCGGTGTATGTTTGCAGTGAGCCTGGAGTAGTGTTTTCCCATACAGTGGGTAGTCCACCTTGTTCACACCGTCATCGTGAAACTTACATACTACAATCAGGTACGTGTAGTTACGAAGTTTGTGTTCAAACCACACTACCCAGATCTGTTCATTTCCAACAGCAATGGCTAAACAGGAATGTCGTGAAATTATGACTCCATACCAGTGAAGAACGTTTCTCCGGCCATTTTCAGTCTTTAATTTGGCAAACATTTGAAATCTGCCCAAACTCTGTAGAGTGAGTTTAGATATTGGGAAACGCTGTCCAGCTGTACTTATACTACATGTACATGTATGCTCCCACGTTTTGCATCGGATCAAATGGCCAACATTATTTTCACGATTTAAAGTTAAACATATACATGTACTTTTCGCACATTCTCTGCGCCACAATTATGCCCCACCGCATATTACTCTCGCTGCATACTGCTAGCAGCGTGCAACCTTCGTATAATTTACGTCGCTCTCGTACTTGGCACTTGCCAACTCCGCGGACTGATCGCTGTCTCCATTCTCCCCTGTCCAAAGCCCTTCATTACTTTAATTTCTTGCCCGCCGAGCTTCGCGAAATCCCTTCTCGTACTCTCTTCAATTCTCCCTCACTCTTTCTCCTCTCTCACACTATTATCTCTTACTGGCCACTGGCTATCGTGAGAATAAAGATTTGAAACAACAACAGCAGCAGCATCAGTAGCACTAGCACTAGCAGTAGCATCAGCAGTAGCAGCAGCAGCAGCAGCAGCAACAACACCAGCAACAGCACTCCAACACACCATTTCACGCCAACACATAGTAGTCTACATGTATTAGACCAGCCCTGTTGATCCGCGATCACCCAAATGTACAGTCTGTTGCTGAGTTGTACACCAGACCACACACAAGCAGCTACTACAGTGTCTACATTGTCAAGTTGCTCAGAGACGTCATGTCGTTATGACGACACGTGTTTGGCAACAACCAGTTATAAATAATTATTAGAATTTCACGACAATCAGAATGACAACACCAACACCACCCTGGTCTGTATGGGACTGTACCCTAAGACATGATGTCATCAGCTCTTTGTCCATATTTGATGAGAAGAGCGTAGCATAGGATCGTGATTGGTTCCAGGTAGTGTTGTTATGTGGTAATGGGGTAGGTCCCCCAGTAATGGCATTATGTGTGTAGTCAAAAAATGTGATTCTTGTCACCAATGACTAGGTAAACAACACATTTTTATGGTCTCGGTCTGTGCAGAGCGCGACGACATCGTGCAGACGTGTAGCATATCACGTGACAACCCTCTGACACACGCACACACGCAATGCTGCGAACAAAAGATGCCTGAGTTCGCGCTAAGGCACACAGCCACAAAGCTAAAGCAGTATCAGTAATGTACGAGTAGATGGCCGTCCGTGGTCTGCCAGACAGTGAGCATCTCCTGCCATTTACCACAGGCATGTGATGCACGATTCGTTCAAACATTAGATCACATCGCTATTTTGGTCAGCACCGCTCAGTCATCCATTTCTCAAGGCACAGTCCAGTTGTCCGTTTTCGTCTCCCTGTCTTTCTCTTTTGTTTCAAACGTCTTCTAGTGTTGTGGAACAGTCCCTCTGACCTACCTTTGTTAGTCGTGCATTATCCTTTCCAGTCATTGTTACTCTTTCTCTGAACTACTAATCAGTCTGTAGTGGCTACAACGTTCTCTCAGTGAATAACAAGTTAGTTCAGCACAACGCTCTCTCAGTGAGTAACAAGTTCAGCATAACGCTCTCCTTCTCCAAACGACCTACTTACTCCAGTCAGCCCACCCAGCCAACGTTTGAAGAAGATCTTAAAAGGAACGGACAACTCACTCAGTAAGTAAAAATACAATCATGTGCTATAGGTCTATTTGAAATCCCCTACAAGTATCACTGATATTGCACACTGTGACTAAGCCTACTCCAGAGCTAGGTCATCAGGCTCAGTGACACGGTTGAGAACTAGCGTGTGTGCACATGCTTGGTAGAAATGCGCCAGGTACTGCACTAACTGACCTGATTGACATAATGGGTGTATTTGCTCACGTTAGCGACTGTATCATTCGATTCACTCCCTGACCCTGTTCTCGCACTGAGTGCTACATCTTATCGGTCTAGTTAGCAACTGTGGATCGTTCAGTAGCGGTTCATGACCTGTAGATCAAAGTCCAAAGTTCAAACAGTGAGTTACTCCTTCGCTACACCATTCCGTTAAGCAGCTGAGTACCTTCTTGCAGGCGTAGGCCCTCCGGACTTCCGCGTCAAGTTTCTTCTTTTCTCTTCACTGCTACTTGAAGGCAAAGTTTAACAAACGGCAAGGATGACTTTCTTCAATTCAGCTCTTCCCTTTAGACTCATTACTTGTAGTCATGTTCGTCTATGAGAAGTTCAACGGTGACTTTATCCGTATGGCAAGTTAGAAACTGAATAGACCATTTTCAGAACTCTCAATAGACCAGAGAAGTTCATCATGTTTCCTACACTTAGCGATAAAGAAGAGAAAAGTAGATCGTTTTCACTGTCATCAACGTTTCTCCAACAAGGAATGTAAGTTACAAATGGAGGCACTCCATCTCTTTCTCTTCGTTTACTTCCCATATTTTCGTTAGTACTGTCGTGTCGTTGGTCTCCACCTTTGTCCTTGTCTCGTGTCGCAACATGACGGCCATTCAGGGACCTACTGATTGACCTCTTGTAGACGACGTACATTTCAGTTCTTTGTAACGAAGGTAGACTTGACGAGCAAGAGGATTTATAGATAGTTCTAGTTACGATTGACATGAAGATTGTTCAAATATCAAGTGTTTGCTGTTGTAACTGTTCGTGCTTGTCAAGTTGAAGTTGAAGTAAGTTGTTCCATTCATTTTGTGTGGGGACCTTTCTTCGAACTGGCGTTTTCTTCTTTGTTGTCAACGGTACGAGAGTTGGAGTTATTTGAGGTGGAGAGCTGTATTCTTTCGTTGATAGTTGTCGTAGGCAGTTGTAGTAATGAGGTGTAACATTTGTCGGTAGTTTCTGTGGTTTTGCTGAGACAGGTAAATTGCATTGTGTTGCAGTGTGTTGTGAAGATGTCCCCGGGATGTCGTTCATTGATCGTCTTCACCTTTTTCAGCTACTGACACAGTCATTGACTGACGTAGCTGCATGTCCGTGGACGTGGGGTCAAAGGTTATTCCACTCTAAATATGGTGTTGAGTATGACGTCATGATGAGTGTGTATGTGTGTGTGCGTACGCATCAGTGTAGATGCAAGTATTGACATGTAAGATCAATGTTGTTTGGATCATTGTGTATGTCATAGTATGGGAGTACTTGTTGTCTTTCTTACCTCTTATTTTCTGTCCCCTTGTCTGTCCATCTGTATGTGTGTCTGTCCGTCTGTTTGTATCTGTCTGTCCATCTGTGTGTGTGTGTGTGTTTGTGTGTGCATGTGTGATTATCTGTGTCGTGTGTGTGCATGGAAGTGGCAGTCTGTCTGTCTGTCTGTCTGTCTGTCTGTCTGTCTGTCTGTCTGTCTGTCTGTCTGTCTGTCTGTCTGTTCATCTGTGTCTGTCTGTCTGTCTGTGTGTGTGTGTCCATCTGTGTCTGTGTGTCTGTGTTGCATACGCATTGTCCCTGTACAGACATGTCCAGACAAGAAGTAGCAGGGTTTGCTCGGGAGGTACGGCGACGGGGTGCCACACTGGAAAGTCTTCAGTCTGCTGTGCCTCCTGAGCAGCCGCAATTGTCCTCCACATCACGTAAAGTGACATGGACATCACCATACTCATCATCACCATCATCATCAACATCATCACCATACTCATACTGGACACACTGCTACTCAATGGGAGTAAGTAGAGTGTTGCTGTACAGTGTGTGTGTGGGGGGGGGGGGGGGGGGGGAGTTTTCTGTGACACCTGGTCTTCTTGTCTGTACCATTGTCAAGTGATTGTTGGCCAGTGGGAATCGTTGATGTGACATACCTTTACAAGATGTGCAATAGCTGCAAGCTTCTCTCAAGCTGGAATAAAGTTATGGCAATTTGTCTGGTTTGGATCGCTGACCCCTGAGGTCAATCAGTAGGTTTCCTAACTCCTGATGGCATTGTACTGAGAGTATTGTTGCTGTCGTTTTTGTAATTGTCAAATCATTTTTTCTGTTTTGTATATCACACAGACAATGCTCCTTTGTGTGATCTGCTTGGAGGGTCAGCATCTTCGTGATGAAATCCTCTACACTATTGTACACTACATATTTAGTGTACATAGTGTAGAGATGGATGAGCAAGACGAAACTCACGTAAGTTGTTGTGTTCTTGATTGTTACAAGACTCAGTACTGTTCAGGTTTGTCATGGCTGTTCTGTATGTCTGTCTATTGTCTGTCTGTCTGTCTGCCTGACGCTTCGCTCCTGTGTTTCTGCATCCCTGTACTGTAAAATGCATCCGTCTGTCCACATGCCCCAAGACTTTGCGTCATTGGGATGTACAACTGACTGGGTGTCTGTCATGTGTGTGTATGTGGCTGTCACGTGTGTGTGTGTGTGTGTGTGCGCTTGCATGTGTGTGTATGCGTGCATGTGTGTGCGTGTGTGTATTGGTGTGTGTGTGTGTGCATGCGCGCATGTGCCTGTGTGTGTGTGTGTGCGCGCGCGCGTGTGTGTGTGTGCGTGCGCGTGCATGTGTGTGTATATGTATGTGTGTGTGCGCACGCTTGTGCCTGTGTGTGTGCGTATGTGTGTGTGTGCGTGCGTGCGTGTGTGTGTGTGTGTGTGTGCGTGCATGCGCGCATGTGCCTGTGTGTGTGTATGCGTGTGTGTGTGTGTGTGTGTGTGTGTGTGTGTGTGTGCGTGTATGTGTGTGTTGTGTGTGTTGTGTGTGTGTGTGTGCACGTGTGTGCGTGTGTGTGTGCGTGTGTGTGTGCGTGTGTGTGTGCGTGTGTGTGTGCCTGTGAATTTGTGTGTGTGTGTGTGTGTATGTGTGTGTGTGCATGTGTGTGTGTGCATATGTGTGTGTGTGTGTGTGTGTGTGTGTGTGTGTGTGTGTGTGTGTGTGTGTGTGTGTGTGTGTGTGTGTGTGTGTGTGTGTGTGTGTGTGTGTGTGTGTGTGTGTGTGTGTGTGTGTGTGTGTGTGTGTGTGTACAGAACAACTGGACACTACTGCACCACTGTGCAGTGTGTGGAAATGATCGACTAGCAAATATTCTCATCGGACGTGGAGCTGATGTCAATGCGCAGAACAGCTTGGTAAGAACTAGTGATAGTTTAGAGTCTGGTTGTCTCAACTGAATTCTCAGTTTGTATGTTCCTACATGTCTATCTGTGTGTCTCTAAGACAATCTGTTCATTGCTTCTGCATGTGTGTCCTTCCATTTGTATGTCCACGTGTGTATGTACATCTGCATGTGTGTACATGTATGTGCATGTGTGTGTGCATGTACGTGTGTATGTGTATGTGCGCCCGTGCGTATGTGTGTGAGTGTGTGCGAGCGCACATGTGAGTGTGTGTGTGTGTGTGTGTGTGTGTGTGTGTGTGTGTGTGTGTGTGTGTGTGTGTGTGTGTGTGTGTGTATGTGTATGTGTGTGTGTTGATGCGTTTGTTCTAGTTGTCCAGGTCTGTGTCGGTGTGTGGTTGTAGTAGTTAGTGTAATGGTTGTATAGCAATACTCATCACATTCTCTCTTTCTCTACACTACAGCGATGGACTCCACTTCACTGGGCAGTCTTCAATAACAACATCAACGTTGTCAAGGTGATGCTGTCACATGACAGTGACGGTGTCACCTTGGATACCACACTGCGTGACAGTGTAAGTATTTGATTGTGTGTTGTTGTGAAGTGAACAGTTTCTACTCGTCCTTCTCACCTGTCCTGCCTCTCTCTCTCTGCCCCTTGCTCTCTCTCTCTCACGACTACCAGTACCACAACTCTCCTCTCCTCTTGTCAGAAATGTGTACCAGTTGTACAATACCGTACTCGATGACATCATGCGTACAATATCGCCACGTGGTCATATTCACTCCGTGGTTCAATTTTTGAAGAATTCGAAATCAGTGTGTGAAGGAGTAGACTGTTTGATGGTGTTTGTTGGAACGAGTGAGGAGTGAAGGGTTGTTGTTATTGTAACGAGTACGCAGAAGACATGCAGTTGTTCCTGACGTGGAGCAGGGGCTGTGGACGCCTTCCTCTCGTCGTGGATATTTTCGTTCGAGTAGAAATCTGTAAAACAAATTCAAATTTGTCGAGGTATGAACTGGAGTTTTTGCTGTGGATGCATGGAGTAGCAATGTTGCTGAGGAAGAAGAGACTTGTTCTGTACATGTAAGTCGTCTTGTGGAGAGATTGATTTCGTCTCGTTGTAGATTATGTCCTTGGCCTTCGTTATGTTTTCGTTTTTGTAAAATTGGAACGAATTTTCTCAAAAATGATTTTCTGTTGTTCCTGTGATGTGTTGCTGAGTTACTCAGGAAGGGAGAACAGCGTTGGACCTAGCCAGGCAAAGAAAGCATGAGGGATGTGTGCAGTTGCTGGTGGATCACGAGAGTGCGAAGGTATGTACAGTAGACTTGACTGTGAGTGACTGAATTTAGATGTACTGTGTGTCTACAGTAAACATTACAGCGTGTCGTACATTTGATTGGTTGAACTATGCAGTGACTAGGTGTCACGTGAGTCACGTGAGGTGCACCTACCACCATCATGTCCTACATTTGTACAGCTGTCCATGAGATCAAGAGTACATAAACACGAGAGAGTGTAACTCCGCTTGGTCTGGCCATGGCGGAATGTTTCGTTTTGTTGACTTTTCTGGAGATGATGAGTCATACCGTACGGGGCATGTACTACGAGTCTGTGGGCGCGTGAGCTTGTACAGTTTTCATTAGGGGTTGTCGCAAAAGTTTTTTTGTCGTCTCTGAAACGAGAGCATCATTTGTTTGGGGGGGGGGTAGGGGTGTGAGTCAAAATCACAACTCGACCGACACTGTACATTGTACTTGTACATGCATGCGATTATCGTCGTCCAGCATAGCAAGCTGCGTTCGTTTCAGAGTGGGGGCAGGGGTCCGAGTACGAAATAACGATATTGTCTCCATGGTCATAGCCAGCCTGAGATTGAACGGGGGGGGGGGGGGGGGCTGGGTGAACCATAAGGGACCATTAGCAAGCCGTGAAACGTCAACGGGGGTAACGAGTTCATCGTAACGCACGTGAAACACGGTGTGGTTGAGGATTAGCTTCTCGCGTTCACAACCCGTCTACGCGAGTCGGCTGCTTTCCAGTTTCAAACAGTTTTCTGATATTTTTACTGGCAATTATTTTTGCGAACTTTTTCTTGAGAACAACTCTCAGCCTGACTGACTTTTACCCGAATGAAAGTGAAAGAAACCCCATGACAGCCACATCGCCGATGGATGGGTGCAGCAAAGGGTTGTGTTCACGAGGTCCATGCCAAAACATAAATGAACGAGCAAGCTGAAGTTTGTCTTGAACAAGCATAAATGTTGGCACTGTGGTTACCCTCAATCCTGTTCTGTGTCATGTTAGTAACGGTTATGCCAAAATCAATGGTCCTACTGGTTGTTTGGTACGTTTCGCCATTGTATTTATTCCAACAAGAATGGGTGAGACATTTTTCGAAATTTGAAGAAAATCGCAAAGACCAAACGAGGCGCGATTTACGGTGCTATTCTCCGTATCATGGTTGAATTCGCACGTACTTGACTAAAACCCACTTGTTGCGGTCATGACGAGTAGACCCCTCCGAACTTGTCAAACACAAGTATGTTTTGCGTGCTCAGGACGGGACTCTAACCCAGCTCCCCCTTCGCGTTGCAGTTTCACGGCTTGCTAATGGTCCCTATTACATGGCATTGGCGGGTTTACGGGGGGGGGGGGGGGGGGGGGAGGGGGTCACGCTCCCACCCCCCCCCCCCCCTCAAAAATGTTCGACCTGGGTTTGAAAAAACACCAGGCTGCTACATGCACCATGTGCACAGGCGGTAGACTCTACGCGGTGGGAAGCAGCGTCCAAAACTGGTTGCACGAGCTGTCGGTTTGCGAGCGGCATTGATTGCACTGCGAAAGAAATGATCGACTTTGTACGAGCTCTAGACTTTTGTACAGATTCCAGGACGCGCTCGATGCGTCTTGAGAAAGGCGTGCAGTGATGTGCTGAACGCAGCGCTGCCCAAGTGGGACAAAAACAAAGCTTGTGATCTTCAAGCGCCTCTTTTCGCAACGTTGTACAACGATGATTTGAGGATGATCCCCTCCAGATTCGAATCGCGAATTGGTTGACTTGAAGACTTTTCTGCGAAGTCTCAGCGACATCCATGGACCAAAGAAGACAAGCTCTGGCCAACAGAGCCTTGATGGATTTTTACAAAGCGTTCTTGCGACGGCGCAATTCCTGTTCCAACAGGAAACAGCGGGAGTGATCAAGTCGTTGCCAGTCCAGTTCGGAGCAGACTGACTTTCCGCCCCACGCGGAGGTGCCAGTACCTGTTGTCAATGAGCAGCCAAAACATGATGAAGAACAGCATGATATGCTCCAATAAAAATTGGGCAAGGATGTACTGTACAAGTAACATGACTGATGATTGTACAATGTACAGTAGGTATCGGTTATAGCGTGGGTGTTCGAAAAACGACTTTCTATTCTTATTTCCGATATTTCTTACTCGCGATAAGTCAAGTGTGACATATCAGATGCATGTGCGCAGATACAGGATGGTCATCATACATACAACGTATCTCTGTTGTGCATGCGGGTGTTCATAGTCTCATACGCTTGCCATGTGGCTATGCAGCATGAGATACAGGACAAGAACAGTTGAACCTGGAGCACAACAATGCAATGCGAGTCGGAACAGAACTGCATTGGACAGATGGTATTACTACACTCATCTACAGGCGATACACTTTGTACCAATCTGGTATGTTTTGCTACACAAAGTCCATTCTTAGGACCGATATATGAGCCCCAGCCAGCAGAAACATGAACATGTGTAATTTAAAAAATATTAATTTTTCCCTCGAAATTGTTTCTACACTATTAATCATTCAAGTTATAAAGTTTGGTGACAATCTGATAAGCGAAAGCATGGAAAATAGAGTTTGAAGTCACACAGGTCAAGATTCGGTACAGTTGGCGCAGCATCCATGCCTAGTGACTCCATGCAAGTTGATCCTACAGTTTCTGATTGTGATGTGGAACAGGTACATGTAAGTAAATAGAATGCAAGTCAGGCTTGCCCTCTTGGTGCTGCAGGCATGAGTAGTTCAGAAGTGTGACGATATTCCGTATACATCACTACCTTCTTTACAACACCAGAGTGCAAAACGATGATTGGTGGCTGGCCTTCCAAATTGTGTTCAGGGACCTCTGTCCTGGCAGTTTGAGCGTTGTCCCAAAGCTTGCCATACTGATAGATGTACTGACCAATACCACTGACATCCACTCCCTTGCACACTTTCACTCAGACGATGATTTCAGCATAATTGTATTTCAATGATATGAGCGAATACTCGCGTTTTGTAGCGCGTGAAGATGTTGCCCCAAAGCGTTCAGCCGGTTTGAGTTTTTAGGGATCCCCTTTCTCAGCACAGGCAGCAGCCAGCCTGGCGTCGTCTGGCAAGGTAGAGTACTGATAATACTATGCTCTGTTTTGCGCCGTGAGAAGCCCTCCATCAGTGTCTGCAGCATCATTGTTGTCGATGTAGAAATATGGATCGCTCAGCGGGTCGACATTCAGCTTCTCCTCGCAGTCGCTATTACTCCAGCACTGACTATCGTCGCCACCAGTATCCAGTGTCGATTTTATGAGGGCTCTTCGTTGCTATGCATATGAGACTCGCCACTGCTGGACTAACTCAGCGAGATCGCCACCAAAGAAATAATTCCGATCGCGAACTAACTTTCAGCGCCGCTTCGTACAGGGAGTCTCACGCTGACAACTCTGGACCTAAGTCTTTGTCGCGACACCTGTCGCCATCGCTGTGTCTAAACTCAACCGCCGTGTGACGAGCTCTCACCTAGCGCTAAAATCAATTGACCAGAGACATTTGAAGACACTTGAAACTCCTTTGACAACAAAGACACCCACTCGATCGAAAAAGAATCTTCAAAAGCCAGCTCACTGCGCGTCCCAAACTTTGACGTCACATTTTGATGATTGATATCAAGTACACAAGTGCTGGTTTTCGCTGGCCGGGGCTCATATTCTACAATGCGATAACATTGCTTGTACTTCCTCCGCGTCATTAAAATTGTCGCTGCGCACATCGCAATGTTTGTGACTTGGCTCGTCTTCCTTAGACTGTCGGAATCGCTGTTTTCTGTGCGAGCATTGGTGCGACCCTTCCTGCGCAATGTCTACTTGTTACTGAAGCCGTGGTGGTCTCGGACTTTGTCGGAGCTCTTTTCCGCACCAACCAAATTCATCGCGCTCCGCACTCTTCCGCCCCAGAGCGCATATCGTTTTTCTGGAGTTCGTGCCGTCCCATATCGTTCGCGTGGGTATTGATCAAGACTGCAAGATCGGGTATAAGAATCCTGGTATCTCTCCTGAATACGAAATGCTGAAGTTGACGATGGCAAGAACAAAGTGTTCTCAAATTCCTAAAATGCGCTACTTGTGTCGCATGTTGCTACGAAGGTAGCAGGTCTGAAAACACCAACACAATTAGCGAAGCGCTTGCCAAAGAAAGAAGGTGCGGAACTACTTACTCTATCCCGCTGGAAGGTCGTTACAGTGTACTTGAAAAATGCTAGCTTGCCTTCATCGCCTGCCACCTGGCGGCATGGATCGCTTGAAAACGAAGTTTCTTTACCTGAATTTGAACGCACGTCTTGTTCAGCACATTGTTGAGTGCTGAAGGGCCTGCCCCAAACTCTGATGAAGACGTCGGCCTTACCTGCAAGTGCAGCGAAGCGGGAGGCCACAAACTAAAGCTTGGTCCGTCGACAATGCTCTGCCTCAATTTCTAGCTGATTTCTTTTCCCTGCGAGTGGACAAAATAAATTTGAAAAATCGCTCTGGGAAGCGACAATTTTAATGACGCGGAAGAAGTAAGAATAAATGTTCACTTGAAACCCATGTTATGATTATGAAAATATGAGAGTTCATTCTTGTAAGTAGTATATTCTTTTACACGACCACGCTATAACCGATACGCACTGTAGTAACTGAGCATGAGATACTTTAATCTGTATAGTGTAGGTCTGGAAGAAATACCTGGCATGTAATCATTTTGTAATGTTGGATAGCTAGGTGCATGACATACATCATTACAGTTATGTGCACCATGTCATCTCCCCCGGCCGTGACCCCCTCAGTCAAATCCTGGACACGCCACTGCATGGTTGTGGATATATGGGGGGGGGGGGGGGGGGATGGGGATGAATGCAGCACTCGACCTAAACTATATCCTATTCTGTGCACCAAGCGCTAAATTTGGTGCCGGCTGGCTTTTTAGGGTATCACTGCATTTGATCAACCAGACGTCAAGTGCATGTGATAATTGGGACCATTTGCAAGCCGTGAAACGGCAAGACGAATGAGGAAATTGTGTTAGAATCCCATCCTGTCCACGCGAAGCACACTGGTGTTTGATGAGTTCGGTGGGATCTACTCGTCATGACCACACAAGTGTGTTTTTTTTAATCCAGTGCGTGCGATTTCAACAGATACGGAGAATGCACAGTAAATTGCGCCTCCTTTTGTGACTTTTCTCAAATTTCCAAATGTTTCATGCACTCCTGTTGGAATAAAGTATGATGGTGAATATACGGTGTACGAAGGCAAGGCACTTTCTCACTAGACAAGTGATGTTTGCTAATACTTGGTCCGCCAAGTTTCAATTGGCGCTTATCTTCGCACTTGATTTTTCGGTGTTCTGCCTGTGTCATACCGCATTGAACCACCGATTCACCATCCGAACATAACCATAGACCATTGCATCCACAAACATGGCAGCACAAACCAGCACAGAGGTTGTGATCGGTTCGTTTGAATCTTTTTGACTGGAGCTGCCACCGACGAACACTTCCGTCACCGCAATAAAAGGCTGCAATCTCCGCTCCAGTCCGTAAAACAGGTCAGGATGTTCACACTTCAGAGCGATGGCGAATACAGTTTCTGCCTACTTCCAGCTGTCTGGTGGCAAGGATGGTTTTCCGCGGGGAGGTATAGAAAATCTGAAAAAGCGCATTGTTAGCTTGAATTTGAGTAGTCGCACTTTCAACACCGGCACTTTTGCTCGTGTGCAAAGTATAATCGTGAGCACACGGGCCCCAGCCAGGTTAAAAAATCAGTTGCAAGCGTGTGTCAAAGTTTATCGTATGCGAGTAAATATCCTTGGAAATGGTACGACGGGCCGTAAGCATACTGCCCACCAAGGGCGCCCATATGGTCGACTTGGCCAGTAACCTGCCCGCTGCGGGCGCATGAATGGCCGCCGAGGCCAACAGCTTACCCATCGAGAGTAAAAGCATGCGGCCCAACCGAGGGCGCGCGAGAAGTGTATAGCCCAAGCGAGGGCGCATGATTATAGCCCGACCGAGGGCGCATGATTATAGCCCAACGGAGGGCGCATGACTATAACCCGACAGAGGGCGCAGGATTATAGCCCGACCGAGGGCGCATGATTATAGCCCGACCGAGGGCGCATGATTATAGCCCGACCGAGGGCGCAGGATTATAGCCCGACCGAGGGCACATGATTATAACCCGACCGAGGACGCTTGATTATAGCCCGACCGAGGGCGCATGACTATAGCCCGACCGAGGGCGCATGACTATAGCCCGACCGAGGGCGTATGACTATAGCCCGACCGAGGGCGCATGATTATAGCCCGACCGAGGGCGCATGATTATAGCCCGACCGAGGGCGCATGGCTATAGCCCCACCGAGGGCGCATGATTATAGACCCACCGAGGGCGCATGATTATAGACCGACCGAGGGCGCTTGATTATAGCCTGACCGAGGGTGCTTGATTATAGCCCGACCGAGGGCGCATGATTATAGCCCCACCGAGGGCGCATGATTATAGCCCCACCGAGGGCGCATGGCTATAGCCCCACCGAGGGCACATGATTATAGCCCCACCGAGGGTGCATGATTATAGACCGACCGAGGGCGCATGATTATAGCCTGACCGAGGGCGCATGATTATAGCCCGACCGATGGCGCATGATTATAGCCCGACCGAGGGCGCATGATTATAGCCCGACCGAGGGTGCAAGAATAAGCGTAAAGCAAAATCGAGGGCGTGTGAACGGCCGCCGAGGCCAGCAACCTGCCTACCGAAGCCTAAAGCATACCGCCCAACCGAGTGTGCACAACGGCCGTCGAGGCCAATAGCCTGCCCACCGAGGGCTAAAGCAAACTTCCCGCCAAGGGCTAAAGCGTAGTACCCACCGAGGGCCAAAGCATGCTGCCCACCATGGGCCGATTATATACTGCCCACCGAGGGCTAAATCATACTGCCTATCGAGCAAATGAACAGCCACCGAGGCCGACAACCTGCCCGCCAAGGGAAAAGCATACTGCCCGCTAGGGCCGAAATTATACTGCCCAGCGAGGGCAAACAAACGACCACCGAGGCCAAGAACTCACACAACTGCCTGGCATTAGGCGTCACACCACACGTATACGATACGATGCCCGATTGCACCCAAAAAAAGTGATAAACCTAGAAGGCATGGCACCCCCACTATGGAAGGTGTATTTGTACCGTCAGCATTATACCTATGCATAATCATATGATGCCGCCGCTACCTTATCAATTGCTCTGACCAGGGTACACGGTCCCGGGTAGCAAAGCAGTATAAACTGTGGCTTTCACAGTATCCACGAGAACTCTCTCGCCTCTTACACATCCGTATATTCTCTTCCTACACAGGCATATAACCTCATACAAGCTCGCCAGGAACGCCCCCACACACACACCACCCCGCACACACCTTCATAAGCACGCACCAGCGTTCTCTCGACCGCCTCGCATTCATGTGACAGAGAATAGATGCCCGTAGACCACCACAAGCTGCTCGTGTGAGCCCACTTACTGGCCCGATTGTCGCCAACACCGCATACAGCGTGTGGGCCTAGAAAAGCACATACCGTACCAGCAAACAGGCCATCTTGCCCCGCCCTGATGGCTGCTTTCGCCTTAGCCACTCTAGCAGTAGCCACACACTCTCACCACCCGCACTTCTGCACCTCATCAATCACTTCACACGATAGCATACGCGCCTGCCACGTGCACATCCACATAGGTACAGCACACAGCACACGTCCATATCCTCACCACTGCCATACCTGCGCACTACGCACTCACACTGCTCTAAGATGCTGGCGCGAGCCCACATACCAATCACTAGCACTGATACTGGCCTGGGAAAGCGCAAACGTTGGCCATCAGTTCCAGGTTAGCTCATTCTATTGGCTACTAGCCTGCCCGGCGCTGAGCCATGCATAATGCGCCTCCAGATCGCATCTGGTGCGTATGCACGTGCAAGCTGGGGATCCAAGCCATAGAGCACTTTCCTCCTGCCCGATTTATCTTGGTGGGACGCGTGACGGTTGTTGGCGCAAACTTGCACAACATTGTCAGCGAGCCTTTGAGCACATTGCGTTTGTTGGCCAAGTTTCCCCAAAAAGAGAAGGGCCCAGGTAACACTGAACGAGGCGACGGTAGTAGACTGATGGTCAACCCAGGACAGGGTGGGTTGCCCACGCTATCACCCAGCATACTGCAGTCCTGGCGAGGCAATGTTATGTGCATAGCGTCAAGATGTACAGCGTCTTATCACCATATTGAGGTGCGATCTCACTCTCGGCCAGCAAACCATAGAGTTGACGCGGGCGGCCACCACGCGAATGAATAGTTAATGATATGCTGAATGCAAACAAAACTAGACTCCCGAACAAAGCGTTGACCAGCGAGTGCAGAAGCCGGTAGTGACTGCGGAGCAAATGGAAGCACAAGCCGTAATGCACTGATCGGGCCTCAAAAGGAGCAGGGAGGCATTTTTTGTTCAACATATGCCTGACAGAAAGATTAGCACGGCAGGCACAGATACGTCGGCATGAATGCGTGCGTGCACACGGCAACCATGACTTACCCCCGGCGGGGCAAGGGTAGGTAGTGAGTAATGACCGACCATATCAACAGAAAGCAATTTGCTGCCGCTATTCGATGTCACCCACAGGCGACAGTGGTGTCAGAACCTGCGGGGCAGGGTGCACCAAAGCACCTTGTAGTGGGTAGTCAGAATTCAGAGGCATTGAAAACTGCTCTCCGTTGGTTACGTGGTATGTCGAGTGTTCCTCACCGCACGCCCGCGCAGCAGCTGGGGCGTCTCGTCCCCTCGGCGGTAGCAACAGCTGCTCTGTCAACAGTGATCCGATGGACAAGTATCATCCCGACTGATAAATGGTCTTCCGGATGATCAGCTACGCTATCAAGTCTGCTCTGGAGACGCGGGGTGAATTCGGAACTGCCACCGAGATTTCTGATAACGGTGGCCACGATTTCTAACGAACTGCTCTGGCCAAATTGCCAAGCGCAACGTTTGCGCAACTCGCGAACCATGACATTAAATGATTCCCACGCGGTATGGCCCGCATAGCGGATGGGCCATCTCATCCGCCCAGCAGTGACAACCGCTGCTCTTTCAACACTGATACGACGAACCCGTACGGTCCTGAACGACAACTGGGGTTAGGATGATGATGATGGGCGCGGCATAACTGCTCCACTAGTAACAGGGGAAAATGTGTAGCCACTCCCATGCTGTTGCCAGAGCTGGAGCTAAATGCAAGCACTATGCTGAACGTGCTGTGTACAATGGACACTTGGAAATCACTGCGACGACAACCAGCTGCAGTGAATTATTCCAGTTTGCATCTTGTCTTGAGTATCTTGGCGACTTGTGGCTTTAGTAAGTGAGTTGAGTTTGATATCTACTACTGTGATACTGGACACTGGATACTGTAAGTCTACAAATTATCAGCACGTTTTAAATTTCAGCATCCGCAGGCCAAAATCCTTTTCGGCCCCATTAAAATTCAGCCTATACAGCTCCTGCCTGTATATCCTGTCATACTGTATGATGCATGTTACAATTTCAAACAAATCCATCCTGACAACTCTCAGCTCCATAGGCACATCAGGGCCACTTCCATGTCCTTTCCAAACTCTCCTATCATGCCTTGGAAACGCCACAACAACTCAGTCTAGCATTTTTTTCAGCTTCTTCCTCAAACTCAACCGATTTTCACAATTCATACTGCTCTGAAAAGCTGAGGTCCATGCACTTTTTTATGCCCATCCCGCGTGCCCCGCGCTAAATTGAAATGCCCTGGTATTTTCCAAAAAAATACAAGGTCTGAAACCAGAAAATTTGCGCTTACTCTGTGCCGTGAGTTCCTTGTTCATCTCGTTGCCTCTACTGCTCTAGGTTCATCTTTGTCCTGTCATTTTTGTTCTGTCATCTTCGTCAGGAAAAACCAACATCTATCCTGTATATCACAGTTCATTTCACCATGGTAGTAGAAGACACACCGACCTTTATTTTTGGGGGGGGGGGATTACGAGTGCTTAAATTACGGCTTATGTTCCGGAAAATACGATACGGAACTAAGATACAGAGAGAGAGAGAGACAGAGAGAGAGAGAGAGAGAGAGAGAGAGAGAGAGAGAGAGAGAGAGAGAGAGAGAGAGAGAGAGAGAGAGAGAGGGAGGGAGAGAGGGAGAGAGAGAGAGAGGGGGAGAGAGAGAGCATGTTAAACAAATATGTGTGATTTGTGCCTCTGTTTTTTGAGGGAGAGAGAGAGAGAGGGAGAGAGAGGGAGAGAGAGAGAGAGAGGGAGAGAGAGAGAGAGCATGTTAAACAAATATGTGTGATTTGTGCCTCTGTTTTTTTCTGACTCTCTATGAAGGAGGCCAAGCAACTGCAGGCAGGTAAGTGACAAATCAATTCTCAAACTTCTTTTCCGCCAAAAAGTTACGAATGACCAGTGATGCACACGAATAGTCGAATAGTAATAAAATTCGGTCGAAGAGCTGTACAATCATGTTCTATGTGTGGCATGCATGATAGTTTTGTACGAGTACATGCGGACCCTGCGCTAGCGGCAGTAGAGCTAGGGCCGCTGCTACAGATTACAGTACAGCGGTTACCGTACGTGTACTTGACGACGAATCCGGCCTGTGTGAGCGTGCACCAAACAGTTAGTAGTAGTAACAATACAGTGGCGGCACTGTAGTACAGTTGCAAAGGACACGTGTAGTTGTACGAGTACAGTACACACACTGTACTGTTGCGAAGTGGGAACCCATAATGCCTTCTTCTTTACTACTTTAGTTCGGTCCAACTAGAGCTAGAGCTGTATGTCCCCAAGTAGTACCATTAGCATGAAGATATGATGGCAGGGCTCTAGCCAGGTCAAAATAGTAGGGGGGGGGGGAGGGGGGGGGGCATGGGAAACAGTTACCCCGTAACCCATTTTGCATTTTCCGAATTTGTCTTGCCATGCAAAATTCAATGTACGGGGCAAACCCCCGACTTCACAACAGACAAATGTGCCTTTATGAACCCTCCAGTAGTGACTATCCACTACACGTTTCGTTGAATGGCATCAAAAAAGCCCGAGGGTAAAATAGCAGTGTTCCAGCGAATATTCGAATAATTGAATATCTTGGTTTTTTTGCGCTGCACAGAATATTCGAACGTGCGAGTCAGAAGTCGAATGTTCGAAATGCTACACTTTGTGTACAACTTTCCGTACAATGGCTTAATTCGCTCATCGCAGCACGCTCGCTGCGTTCTTGCATCGTAGAATGTGCAACAGTCACTGCAATTGAGCAGCAAACGACATCGTCAACATATTGTCGCTTACCGCTAATGCTGCCCAGTTTGACTTACGCGCCGTTTGTAGCTTGCACCTTCGCAAGAAATACTTATGTTCTTCTTCGTAGTTTGTAGCAGTTCCTGGTTAGTTTCGAATCGTATCAGTCCGCTTTGCTTAGTTTCGAGTCGGTAGAAATCCGTGATGTCGGATCGTAAAGCTAGCTCCGTGTGGGAGAGTTTGAGAGACTTGAGACTTCTGTTTCCGACGCAAGTCCACAAAATAGTTAATCCTGCGCATGGAACCCGAGGATGTCGTCTTCTTCCGCTCCGAAGTATATTAGGCTCTTCCTTCGATACATCGTTGACGATCCATTTTTGGAGACTCAGTGCAACATGGAATCCAAACTGAAACGAATAAATTTTCATGTACTTTCAACAAAGAGTTACATCCAGAACAGTCCAGTCTACCGAGGAGAACTTTGTATTTTTTGTCGCGGAATTCAAATCGCGTTTTCTCGACTTTTCCACAAAAGCTGTGGTCATGTCTTAGCACCCGCTGGCTCAAATAAACAAGGAAGCATCGTGTGCTGAAATGGGCTCGTCTGTATGGGTAGAATAGTAGAATATTCGTTCGTACTGTGCATATTTTTTAGAATATTCGTTCGTGATTTGCTATTCTTTGCAACACTGGTAAATAGTGATTATTGGGTGAACAGGGCGCATTTTAGTGCTCTTTTATTGCTTGTTTTTTTGGATGAATTGGGCGCAGCATCCGGGGCGAAAAGTGGTACAAGCATGGTGGTACTGGTGGTACCGTGTGTGACGCCCCTGGACTCTAAAACCCAGTGCCTCAACTGTAGCAACACCATAACAGGTGTCTCCTGTCTGCCAATATTCTGGTGATGGAGTGGTTATTGTGCGGGAAGCAATGCCTTTCAGACACACCGTAAAATCGGGACTCAAGCGGGCTTTCTCATAATACGAGTGCATGCAGTGAAGATGCACTCTCACTTGTTTTGCATTCCTGTTGCCTGTACTGTATGATTTCTTGTTAGTAATACAAAAGAAACAACAAACTGTAAATGTCCCCTGCAGTTACACAACATTTTTTGATGTGTGCTGTGCTTATCGTTGTGCCCAGGAGATACTGCTGTTCTGCCAAGTATCAGTGAACTCGAAGCAGCAGAGCAGGAGGCAGCCCGGTTGGGAGGTACGACCGTCATCCATTTCCTGCACGTGGTAATACTTGGTGCGGCACGCGTTGGAAAGACCAGCTTGCTGAAGGCGTTGCTTGAGAAGATGCACAATGAGAATGAACTCAGCACACCGGGCATGCGCACGTCCTACGCAACTACAAACATCTCTGATGACTGTCGATTCATCGAATGCCCAGACATGCCAGATGCTCTGAGTCGACTCTACGTCATCACCATGATGTGCAAACCATCCACTTCGAATCATCCCCAAGACAAAGAGACAACACAAGATGACAGAGAGAGAGCCCCAGCAGGAGAGGATCCTGTGGCTGGGACCCATGCAGGACCTATGGAGGACAGCAGTAGCAGCAGCAGCAGCAACGGGCCAGCAATGCGCGAGGAAATCCACGAGACCATCACAGGATTTCTCAACGCAGACCGGGTAAAGTACATCTCTGACCGGGCCAACACGCCCAACTATACCGTCATCACATTCCGCGACCTTGGAGGGCAGCAAGTCTACCAATCCGTGCAGCCCCTCTTCATGGCCAAAAACACAGCGTTCATTGCCACATACAACTCTTCTCTGGACCTTCTAGAGACCCTTCCCAAGTTCGATGAATTTCAGGTCAGCCGGGAAGAATGTATCGAGCGGGCCACTCTACCGGCCAATGCGACTCGCCTAGACCAGCTGCTCGGCTGGCTCGACATGCTGCTGCTGAATGCGAAAGCTGACAGCAGCACAGACCAGAGTGCTGCAGATGATGTGTTTGTAGTGGGGTGTCAGAGTGACAGGTGGAACAAAACCGATTTGCCTGATCCTTGTAAACTACTTCAAGAGAAGATAAAAGGTACCCCGTACCAGAACCTTGTCTGGAACGACACTTCGCACTTCAAAATCGACAACACCAGATCCACTGGAAGTGCAGCACAAGCAGATGAGCTGCAGCGATTGAGAGAGGCCATCATCGACCGCTGCCAGAAGAGCCAACGTAACATCCCTGTTCCATGGCTCCGATTCTGCATATCCATACACACGCTCAAGCAGGAGGTCACTTGGCCTTGGATTTCCTTCAAGGAGGCAAAGTTCATAGCGAAGCAAGTCAAGGCTGTTCCACATGACTGCAGTGACCGGCAAATACAGCTGCTGCTGAAGTACTGCCACGAAGCAGGCCACCTGGCGTACTTCCCAACTTTCAAGCTGAAAGACACGGTCATCCTGGAGCCCCAGTTCATCCTGGACTGTGTCAATGCCTTTGTCTACATGAAGCCTGACCGAGACATCACAGTGCACGAAGCGCGGTGCTATCGTTCTGGGTTCATGACGGAGTCCCTGGCACGCAAAGCTCTCAACAAGATGTTCGAGGGTCAGTCTTACTGCGACCATGCTAAGGCGTGGCAAGCAGTCAGAGCAAGCAGTGATGGGTTCAAGCTCATTTTTGAAATCCTAGAATGGCTCTCAGTCCTGGTAATTGTGCAGGATGAGAGGTCTGCTGAGCACGAGTTTATTGTACCTGCAGTCGTCCAGGACATGGGCACGGTCCCGCAGACGCCTTGTTCCTGTGCCTATGTGTCCTTGAAGCACGCAAACCGAGATGAGTTGATGCACTTTCCCGTGTTCCTGTACTGGCAATGCGTGGTGGAGGTGCTGCTTAAGTCACACAAGCGCTCGTCTGCCACGCTGTCACGGTGCAGCGTTCGCCTTCGCTGGAACAGCGATTGGCCGTGGCTGCACCTGCACTATACACGCTACGGCTTACAAGTGTACCTCGAATGCAAGGGCCGACACGGCGGTAGCGGAAAGTCTACGCTGGATGAAGTCCGGGCAATCGTGCTCACAGTGGTACGGAAGTGGGGCCTGCAGGTCGAAGTGATCAGCACATTGACATGCCCCTGCGGAGAAACGTCGGGCAAGGAGTGTTTACAGCATGGCTTGTCTACGTGCCGCGCGCCAAGCTGTGCACACGCCTTGGACGCTTCCACCCTAGTGGCTGAAGACTATCCACTGTGTACACGTTCAAATCCGGATATACAGATGATCCGTGAGCAGGCCATGTTCTGGCTGGGCCTTGACCAGGTGAGAGACTTGATTGAATTCCTGCAGCTATGCAAAAGACGTTACGTTAGTAGCGCCTGCCGCTAGCTTTAGTTCATATGTTTTTGTGGGGGGGGGGGGGGGGCACGAACCATGAGACAAGTTCCACCAGGCCTTGTTGTAATTCTGTTTATCTCTGTTCAGGACGAGAGTTCTTCACACATAAAGTTGCACCATGTCTCTATTTTCTTAAAACTTGCCACGTATTCCCGTCATGTTAATGAGGAGATAACCATTTTGAGCCTACTCTGACTTCAGCGATTATGGCTTGTGTGTGTGCGTGTTTGCATGCATGTGTGCTTTTGCTCGTGTGGATTTACATGTATGTGTGTGTGCATGTGTGTATGTGTGTGTGTGTGTGTGTGTGTGTGTGTGTGCGCGGCATGCATGTATGTGTGTGTGTGTGTGTGTGTGTGTGTGTGTGTGTGTGTGTGTGTGCGGGTGTGTGCGGGTGTGGGCGTGTGCATGTGCTTGCGTGTACTTGGTCTCTTGCAATACCTGCAGGATGCATGTGGAAAGCTGTTTGACCCGAGATCAGCCTCTCTTCCTTCAGGTTAGTTGGATGCACAATACAAACAGATCTGGTACTCTGGTACCGTGTTTGCATACCTACGTGTGGGTGTTTGCATATGCTGCACCTGCATTTAAATTTCGACTACATCCAGCTTTGTGTCTGTCTGTGTGTCTGTGTTTGTGGGGGGGGGGGGGGGGGGGTCGGCTACTTGGAGTTGTGTTGTTGTACCTGCCACCTTTGTTGAATTCAGGGTTTATAATTATACTTTCTATTTGAGGTATACATACCTGTTCACCATGGACTGCTTCTGGCTAGATTAACTCTTGTGTAATCAATGGTCAGGCACGTAGCACGCATTGGGGCACAGTGGGTGCGTGCACCCTGCACCCCCCCCCCCCCCCCCCCCTAATAAGTTTGACCTAGGTTCAGCATGCACATAATGACTATGAATGACATGCACCAGCCATCCTACACATATGCAGCCATGCACCTCCTTCCCTCCCCCACCCCCTAAAAGGGGGGGGGGGGGCTGCTGTGCTCCTGATGGTTCTATTGAAGCTTATATCAGATTCAATCTGATTTGGCCACCCATACTAGTAGCAAGTATTACCTTCACTGGGAGCTGGGGTAACTGCAGTTGGATCCTGGGACGGATACCCTGATGCCGTAACCCATTTTTCTACACCTTGTCCTCACCCACTTTCTGCGGTGTGTCGAGCCCGTAAGTGGGATCATTTCTAAGTCCACCCAGAGTTTTTGGTATTTCAGTGGGTGTCCGCTGTTGGGAGGTTCAAGAGCTCGTATTAGCCGATTCACACATCTGCCAAGATTCCTTTTGAATCTCTCTCCCCTCTCCCGGGGAGACCCACGTGACCGGTTTTGGCAGTGAGCAAGTGCAAATAAGTGTGTGTATGTATGTGTGTGTCTGTCTGTGTGTGTGTGTGTCTGTCTGTCTGACTGTCTGACTGCTTGTCAGACTGTCCACCTATTGCTCCAGTGGTAGCGTCACTAATAGCATCACCGGCTGTGGCATTACTAGTAGCATCACTGTTAGCAGCAGCAGCAGCCTCAGTAGCATCAGTAGCATCTCCAATAGCAGCATCACTGGTAGCAGCAGCAGCAGTCCTTGCTGCAGTAGCTCTTTCAGCAGCAGCATCACCAGTAGCACCTTCATCAGCAGCACTTGCAGCAGCAGCAGCGACTACAGGTATGTACCTGACTGGGTGTTCATAGTGTATTTTAGATACACATTTGACCAATTTAGCACAATAATTAATGGCAGACAGTCACTTTTCCAGCGCCACCACTTTGAATAGGACTAATGACTAGCTAGATCTTTGTCGGGAAAAAGGTTTTCTCATAAATGCCCTCAGGGCCTATTTCTTAGTGGAAATGGCTGTAAACACAGCCGATACTTCATAGAATTGCTATGGGGTCGCTGTCATATTTTGTCGCCCTGAAGCGAACATCGTCCGTGGAATCGGTGGGTCGAAAATCGTAACTTGGCCAACAAACTTTGTTCATTTTGGAGGAGTGAGGGGTCCGTCCGAGTATGAAATGAACCATGTTCGTTTCAGTCGCGACAATAAACTTCTGCAACAAACCGTTTGTGCGTGCCCACGTGTGTGTGTGTGTGTGTGTGTGTGTGTACATGTATTCGCTGCATCTGCATGTGTGTGTGTGCGTGTGTGTGTGTGTGTGTGCGTGCGTGTGCATGTCTCTTGGCCACTCCAATGGCACGCCGTCTGTTGCCTTGCAGCAGAAGCCTGTGCCAGTGTGGACAGTAGAAGCGGTGGTCACGGTGCTCGTGGAAGCGGTCATCACAGCGCTGGTGGAAGCGATGGTCACGACGCTGAATTCATGTCACTTGGTGCCATTGGGTTAGTGAAGGCTATCCTCGCAGGTTTATAAAAAATAGGTCAAATACGTTGCTTTGGAGCTGACCAATCAGCCGCTTTCATTAACGAAGCGTTCAGGGTAATGGAAACACTGACAACACACTGTCTGCACATTAAGTGAGGGTGTCTTTTCAGCACATAATGCTGCGTCGCATTTTAAGGCTTTACTGTCCACGGGGGGGGGGGGGGGGGGGCAGGCACTCTACTATCCACGGGGGGGGGGGGGGGGGGGGTTGCGCGCTCTACCGTGTCCATTGGAGGGAGGGGCTCTCCTGTCCACTGAGGGAGGCTCTCATGTCCACTGAGGGAGGCTCTACTGTCCACCGAGGGAGGCTCTTCTGTTACGGCCCTACCTAGAACGTGGACCTGTTTCTATTTTCTTTTTTCGTGCTGTTTTGTTCTGTATACCACTCTGCGCTGCAGTGGAAAGACACTCGATCAGATTGCCGACTGGCATGCGTTTGTTAGCTCGATTGAACCGTTCATAGGTGGAGAGGAGGAAGGCGACGAGAGAGGTTGGTTGCTTTTGGACACCGTGATTCATGTGTATTTCAATAATGCCGGGTGGTGAATATATTTTCTCCAGCAAGGACACGGCAGAGTTTTAGCCGTGTGTATGTAGCGAATTATGAGTAAACGTAGTTTGAAGTAGTTCTAGGGTCAACCTTATTCTCTGGGAGTGTAGGAGCTGTTCGTTCCAGGCGATTTTCGGAGAAAATGAGCGTGAGGCTGGTGGCCTAAATTTCCTTTGTATTTGAACATTCACAGTGACATCCAAATAATGCTGTGGTTCAACCAGATGAAATTATTTTCAGAGCCAGTGAGTTCCCCTGAGCTGCTTGAATTGTTTTGCAATACCCTCTTGTCACTGTATGCACGTGTATGTGTAGACTTTGATGAGGAGGTGATGTCCTTGTACATTGTTTTTTAACCAGTGTTCCTATTGAAGTCATGTCCCCTAAGAGTGGTACTGACTCCTGAGTATTTTATTGTTTTTATTGCCACGGCTTGCCTTGGCAACCCATCAAGTGCAGCATCAGCTGCAATGGGCATACGTAACCAAGTCGACTTCACTGCTTGATGCAGGTTGTTGTCAACTTGTTGTGTGAACTGGTGTTCTACCTCTGCCGATCATGACTGGGGAACGGCTAAGCTCACCTTCGCAATCATTTAACCCTTTACCGGCAGCACCATACTTGAATGAGTCGTAAACGACGCATATGACATGCATGCTAAAACCATACCTGGTATGACAGGAAGCATCAGCCCACGGGGATTTCCCGTGGCCCTCACACAGCCTAGGTATGATCCTATCCATAGCTGAAGAGAATCTACGCGTGTCCCATTTGATTTCATTGAGAACTGCGCGATCGAAAACTTACAGAAATACACGCGCACTGACAATGCCGTCTGCCTCCGTCAAAACGTCGTCAGGTGCATTTCCTCTTTCGTAGTGAGTTCCTTTCATCCTCAGATGACTTCTCCGACGAGGACTTAGCAGACCTTCACTCTAGGACCCACGACAGATAGATAAATACTTCGTTCCACTGAGCCACCGATGCAAGCGAATTTCAAATTGCGGAGTGGAGCTCACGCCAAGTAAATTCCCACGCAAATATCGGGTGATGCACCTGGAAGAATCTGATGGTGCTTATGATGGGGAAGCCATGGAGAGTGATCCCCGTGTCGACAGTCTCCCAGAGACGGAATTTTAGGCCATTGACTTTCTACCTACCTGAGTGACGGCAGCGCAGCGCGACTTAAGCGCGACCTTACGGAGCCATCGGACAGCGATTTTGGGGTGATGCTGCTCTCAATTGTGAGCGAGGCACGGCCACTGAAGTCTGTGATGGCTATGGCGTTCGTTTCCGCTCCGAAGTCGACTTGTTTTGGCAGTATCATATTAATGTCGGAATCTGACAATTTGCATTATGTACAATTTCCCTGTTTAGACGGATAGATGACAGTTTAGCAGTGTATGTGTGTGGTATGTGAAAATAATTTTTTACATGGTCAATAAGTAGTACCAGACTTCCAAGAAAACATAACTTGAACATACAACATGTGGCCTCGTTGTGAGTTATTGGCATCCTTCTCAATCTTATGGATTTCATATACAAAATACACTTGCCGGTAAAGGGTTAATTATGTTTGCGTTAAATGAAGCTGTGTAGAAGTTGGTTGCTCCCACACTGCAGCGCTATTGCCGTCGACCTGACTTGACCCTTGACTGACTCACGGTTGACTGTTTCAGTGTGGGAGCAACTAACTTTCTTATATGATTATCACCAAGGTCGCTACCACGCTTTCGTGTTAAATGAAGCTCATTGTTCTTAAATGAAGCTGGTTGTTCTTCAGTGTAGCACATGCATCCACACAATCCACACCGGTCCAAATGAGCACTAGGGAATTTTAGAACCGAACGTTTTCGTTCCCTTCTCTTCATGGTCTCTTACATGCAGCAAAGCAAAAATAACTAAGACAGCAATTCTATGGGCAAAGAAGTGAGGGAGATAAACATCAGGCTAGAAGTGTGAAAAGTCAGCAGGTCAAAAACAGTGTCATTGTTCTTTTCTGCCCTTTCTTCTGGTGATGTTGTAGCAAACTGCGGTAAGGCGGCTGTGCAGCTAGTGGCTCCAGAATACACAAACTACTACCGCAACGTGCTAAAGTCGTTTCACGAAATGAAGAAAGGCAACATCGGAGGCCCAGGCAAAGGAGAGAACAACCTCTTCTGTATCTTGCTGTATCTGATGCAACGTCCGAGCACAACCGTCCAAGAGCTGTTTAACCTGCTGGCTGATAATGCCAAGCATAGCCGGCGCCATCTTTTCACAGCAATCAAGTGAGTTGCAGGCTGTGTGTGTGTGTGGGGGGGGGGGATGCCGGGGATAGTTTAGTGTGTGTGTGTGTGTGTGTGTGTGTGTGTGTGTGTGTGTGTGTGTGTGTGTGTGTGTGTGTGTGTGTGTGTGTGTGCATGTGTGTGTGTGCAAGTGTGTGTGTGTGTGTGTGTGTGTGTATATATGTGTGTGTCCCATATGGTGCAGTGGTATGTGCAGTCGATTTCCAATCGAGAGGTTGCGGGTTCAATTCCCGACGATTATGGTCGCACACGTCTTTCTTGCCTTTCTCGGACTCTTCCTGACTTTTCTTTCATTGTCCTGAGTGGTTACCATGGTTACCAACAGCCAGTGTATGCAGCAGTATGTGATGTGGTGTGTGTGTGTAGAAAAAAATGGAAAAATGAAAAATAGGGATTCACTGGCCAGAAAAAGTCACTTCAAACAGCTGTGTGGTGGATATCAGGCTAAAAATAGTGGCGGTCACTTCATCAGCCTTGCAAGCTGTTGAATGATGTAATCCCAGCACAAGTTTCTATGTCTAATATAGCTGTTCGCTATCATCGCTTCCACGATGGGCATGTCTGAGGTCTGAGGCGAGAGTGGTGGGGATAGTTTAGTGATTTGCAGTGGAAGAAGGTCCAGGCATCAGATCATGTTACCATGGTTTCAGCACACCTGTGTATAAATATCACCTGTGTTTTAAATAAAGACCCCCTTCGAATAAAGACCCCGTTCGAATAAAGACCCCGTTCGAATAAAGACCCCGTTCGAATAAAGACCCCCTTCGAATAAAGACCCCCTTCGAATAAAGACCCCCTTCGAATAAAGACCCCCTATGTATAATGACCACCTTGATGTATTTATAAAGATCACCTGATGAGTGCCTGAGATGGCATGAAACTTTTAAGTTGTGACTGATCAAGCCATCTGTTGTTCTGACTAGTGTGCCACGGCTCTACCTTCCCGGTATCGAGCTCTCTTGGATTTCTGCTGGAATTCACAACAGTGTGTAAAGATTACCTATGTATAATGATCACCTTCATGTATAAACTATAAAGATCACCTGTGTGCTTGAGAACGTTGGTGCGTTTCGAGATATCAAAATTTGGCGGGCAAAAAAAACAAGCCATTCAAGCTTTGCACTCGATGTCTGTTGTGACCGCTCGACAGGGAGCACACAAGCCAGCTGAGCGCCAGCGATAACAAGCCCAAAGTGGCTTGTTTCGGTGTGACCGCGGCGGCCTTAAGACCACTTGTGTATAAAGATCCATTAATGGTAAAAATGGTCACCTGTATGTAAAGGGTACGTGTGTATACGGTTATCAGTGGTCTCTGCACCTTCGGGTTGTGGTGGGTTGGTTTGGGTTTGGGGTGGTGGGGGGATTGTTGTTCACTGAACCACAGATCTTGCTATGTTCAAGCTAAGTTGCTAAATACTTGCCAATCAAAACATCTGATAATTGGCCTAATACTGTAGAACGTATAGTTTTTAACGGGTAAAGAAATTAGCATTCTCTGAATCAGGACCAATTGACAATGAAATATGTTAGTGACCCGAGTTTCAGAGTTTTAAGAAAAAGAAGATGACTACTACTGTACAGTAGTATCTGCTAAATTTCAATTGACGCGGCAAAACTTTAGCCAAAACACTCCTTTCGTTTAAATCACTAAAATATCACCTGCGCTTAAATTGGACTCGGATGGAGAGCCAAGGATTAATTTATAAAAAATAAAAGGACCCAGGAACTACACGTTACGCTATACTGTCCACTAACACCACCAGTCACTAAACAATCAGCTCATGCGATAACATTGCACGACACTGACCTACGGTACTGACGTTATAATTAGCCATTTTACCAACAAGTGAACTGTTGAGCTACAAGAAAAGTTAGCCTAGTTCTATTAGAAACGTGTGTGTGTTGCTGTGCTCCGTCTCTGTCTTTCGTCCGGGTCTCTGCTCATCCATTGTGCACTGTACCGTGACAATGAGAAGTTCACTCTGCCGCTGTTTGACCTGTATTGTGTTTGTTTGCCAGGAATGCCAAGTACTTGAAACAATAAGCAGGAGATGAGGCCTTGTCCAGAGATGGCAGGGGGGGGGGGGGGGGCAAGCGTCTGCTCTCCGACCCCCAGCCGCTCAGTGCCTCGGCCGGATCGGATTAGCAGCCTGGCCGCCCTCCGGGCAGTGTCGCGGAGCCTGATGTCTTCTTGTGACCGGAGCGTTCGTCCTAGGCATCATGGGCGCTGTGTGTTTTCATTGCGAGTTGGCCTGTGTTGCTGTGATCAGACCGCGTCATTTTCCTTCATCATGAATTTACACATAGCAGTGATGTTTCTAATGTCTTGAAGTACACTAAAAACTCACATGCTATTTACTTTGAATTGCCGCTAGTAAATTTTGAAAATAATAAATTATCACTTTTCAATCCATGTCAGACAATCAGGGAAGTTTTTGAAGCTCCTCTCATTCCCAGCATTAATGTAGTAAGAATAATCATTTCAAGACACGCTTGCGTTAGCCTTTACTGAAACTTGACTAACGATATTGAGATCACCATGTCTCTGTGCGTTGAGCCAATCCACATTGATTTCATAGAAGCCTAACCTATCTATATCTTTGCAGACTTGATTTTTGTATCCAAATTCAAGACTGAAGATCTTACCAGAACTTAGTAGTAGAAAGCGGTGAATGCGTTGAAATAGGCTGGGAATTTCTCGGTTCTATGCTAGTAAATACATATGACATTGCCTTACTCTTTTTGCTGTCATCGGCTCACTGCTGATGAGATATAACAAGGTGGAAACAGCTGGCTTCTGAGATTTGAGTGTGTTTTGTTTTTTTTTTAAATTTTTGAACACCTCCCTTTGGTGTCCCAGCTGAGACTGCTGTTATCACCACCATGTCTTCACCCATCCACCTCCAATTCTAATTGCAGCGGTTTACTATTAAAAACAGTCAATCAGCGTGTGCCGCCATTGTTGATGTTCCCGGCTATCATTGCTGTACTCTTCTCTGGCCCCTGTGTCTGTTGCAGCCATGATCACTGCATGCTGCCCCTTACCACCATTTTCAGCCTAGCATCTGATACTGATACTAGGCTCGAGATGGATCTATGTACAATGACAAGAGAATCTGATACAATGTAGACCAGGGTTACCATGGTTACCAGGGTTACCGGGTGGTGTCCATACTGGAAATCGATGGTACCTCACCAAAGGGTAACTGCGAATTAGTTTTGCCAATGTTTCTGTTTTTGGAGATGGCAATGTTGCGTGACCAAAAGTTGTTGATTCTTCCCGCAATGAATCATATAATCAGAACGCTATCGTGTTTCCATGGAATACTAAAACATAATAGCAAATGAGTTTGTGTCCATGGTATACTAAAACATAATAGCAAATGAGTTTGTGTCCATGGTATACTAAAACACAATAGCAAATGAGTTTGTGTCCATGGAATACTAAAACACAATAGCAGATGAGTTTGTGTCCATGGTACACTAAAACACAACAGCAAATGAGTTTGTGTCCATGGTATACTAAAACATAATAGCAAATGAGTTTGTGTCCATGGAATACTAAAACACAATAGCAAATGAGTTTGTGTCCATGGTATACTAAAACACAATAGCAAATGAGTTTGTGTCCATGGAATACTAAAACACAATAGCAAATGAGTTTGTGTCCATGGAATACTAAAACACAATAGCAAATGAGTTTTTGTCCATGGAATACTAAACCACAATAGCAAATGAGTTTTTGTCCATGGAATACTAAAACACAATAGTAAATGAGTTTGTGTCCATGGAATACTAAAACACAATAGCAAATGAGTTTGTGTCCATGGTATACTAAACCACAATAGCAAATGAGTTTGTGTCCATGGAATACTAAAACATAATAGCAAATGAGTTTGTGTCCATGGAATACTAAAACACAATAGCAAATGAGTTTGTGTCCATGGTATACTTCACCACAATAGCAAATGAGTTTGTGTCCATGGAATACTAAAACATAATAGCAAATGAGTTTGTGTCCATGGAATACTAAAACATAATAGCAAATGAGTTTGTGTCCATGGAATACTAAAACATAATAGCAAATGAGTTTGTGTCCATGGAATACTAAAACACAATAGCAAATGAGTTTGTGTCCATGGTATACAACAATACACAATAACGGTTATGCGCTGTGCAGCTAACGAAATGGATGAACGGACGACGGCCTGAGTGTTCTCCTTCCTCAATGAACACTGGCAGCCACCATATACCATGCTTGATGTTTCAAGCACCATAGGCACAGGCCACGTTTTTCGGCACCGACGATTTGTTCGTCCACCAACAGTCGAAACAAATGTCTCTCACTTCAACACTCCGTAGAGCTGCCGCTGTTGTGCCAAGGCCCATTGGCGCATGGTGTGTATACTCCAAATCTACATGTTTGATGATGGGTAATTGCAGACGTTTGTGCTCTTGGACAGTGCAACGCTGCGTGAAGATAAGCTGTGGCTCCACAATTGCTCAAAACGCTAGTGTGGTTCCATGGAATACTAAAACACAATAGGCGCGGCGCAGCTAACGCCCACTTGGATGAATCGGACGGCAGTAGTGGCGAGTGCGTTCTCCTTCCTCGGTGAACACTGCTGGACACCCTGTTTGATGATCCACCAAACACCATCGGTGCAAGCCACGTTTTTCGGCACCAGCGATACGTTCGTCCACCAATAATTGAAATTAATTTTTCTCACTTGAACACTCTGTAGAGCTGTCGCTGTCGTGACAAGGCCGTGTATACTCCAAAATCTTCATGTAGGATGAAGAGTAACTGCTGAAGTTTGCGCTCGTGGACAATGCAACGCTGTGCAAAGTAAGTTGTGGCTCCACACTCGCTCAGAATGCTAATGTGTGCCCATGGAATACTAAAACACAATAGGCGCGGTGCAGCTAACATCCACCGTGGATGAAACGGACAACAGCAGCAGCTAGAGCGTCCTCCTTTCTCGGTGAACACTGCTACAAGAAATAATGCTTGATGATTCACCAAACACCATCGTTGGGGGCCAACGTTTCCGGCACCAACCGGAACGAGTTGTTCGTCCAGCAACTTTGAGTCTTTCTTCAACACTTCGTAGAGCAGCCGCGCAAGGCCTTTCCTTAATTCACTTTAGGGTAGCGATCCTTCCTAGATGCTATCGCCAATATTACTTTTACTACGATGATACTCCAGTAGTGTTTCTCCGAAAATGAAGTCAGCTCCCATTACTGAGTGCAGTACTCTCACAACTACTACTACTACTACTACTAGTAGACCCAGGTGCTCGAAGTCCGTACACTTTTACAGTGTGTGTTTGCCGAGCTGAAACTCACACTAGCAATCATAACTTGCCAGAATCCTGCTCGTGGATGGAAGGTATCTTGTCCAAGTTTGTTCTGAGGCCAGGCTCGATTGAACGTGGCAGGCCATCTTTCGATCCGATCTCTGGAGTTCGCTGATTTTTCATATCAAATTTTTGTGTCGCAGAGGGTACTCTAAGTCCGTACTGATCAGAGGTGACTCGAAATACACACATCTGCTAACTAACTTGCCGCAATCCCTCGGTTACGACGAAAGCACCGAAGGGATATGTTTGGCATGTGCCTCCACCAGTATTTCTTGCAAAAGCGTAGTTTGTTGCCGAAATGCAAGCTGTTTTTAGTGGGGTCAGAGAAGAAGCAGCTGCGCTGTGAAAACCGCGAGAAAACAGTGGTGGAGATGCCAGGAGTGTCAACCTTTCTGCAAGGATTGGTGGTTCTCTGTAAATTCTTCTCCTCTGGCCATTGTCAGCTCTAAGCTGGCTCTTGATGATTGAGTGAAGGTCTGTTTGACGCTGTGTCCGTTCGAAATCGGTCTTGGCAAAGTTGAATTTTGCATGAAATGTAACCCAATTTGTATTTCGTAAGGACACTCGAAAACCCAGTCGCGTGGTATGGGGCTTCTGCTTATCGTAGATCCCTGAAAATTGCTACGCGAGGAGAACATACCACACTGTCCCCTCCATAAAATATTTGAGTCGAATACAATAACAGAAGTATATATAAATAACACATGGTACGGAGGGCATTAACGCTGATTTATGCCCTAGTGCGTAGCCCGAGGTCGTGCACCGTAGCCCAAGGGCCGCAGGCCCGCGGGCTACGGTGCACGACCGAGGGCTACGCACTAGGGCATACAATCAGCCATAATGCACGACGCACCATGTGTTTATTATAGTTCATACATGCCACGTGCCTAGTTGTAGACAAATAAGGTAAACATGGTCACGGGAGGAGGAAGGTTCCAATCAGCTGTCATATGAATGAAGGGTCGAACAAGATCGGAAGGAGCTTTCTCCGTGGAATGATAGAACGTTTTGTGTCAGATTTACTTGCAGTTCCAGGAATATGTCTTTGCATTTTGGTGTTAGTGTTGCCTATTGGGCGGTACGGAAGTTAGCTGATTCGCTGCTGCTTTGGCGTTAACGTTGGCCGCAAACATCCTTGACCAAGGGGCACTAGTAATTAGACTAGTTTTGAGAGTACATTGTAAGTGTTCTTATTTGGGACAATGATACTTTTTCACATACATCTGAGATTTTGTTCGCATTGCTTTCAGTTTACTTGAGGTCCATGTGTACACTGGACAATCATGTAGCTAGGTACATTTGAAGTACAATGTAGATGTAACTGTATATTTTGTAGGAGTTCGAGATACAATCTGATCTCTTCCAGATAGGTAACTTTGTGATGCATGTTCACCTGTTGACTTGTTCGTCTCAATTGACTTGAATTTAGTAATGCATGGTAATGACATGCTGTGTGCTATTGTCACGTTGTTATAAATTACTTCTCCTATGTCGACATTGCTAGTAAAATATTTATATTTGAGAGCATGTCTGAGAATACCAAAGTATGTGTGCAAGTGGATCTCTCCGATTTCGCTCAAAATTTGCAGGTAGGTTCCCTTTGGGGTGTGGATCGATTATGCAAAGCCCTTGAAAAAGTTTCTGAAGGGAACCTTGAAATTTGCATACCCCTCAAAAATGGCCGAAATATCACAATATTTATGGGTCTAGAAACGAGTCACGCCACAGCGTATACGAACAAGCTATGAACAAAACTCCATCAAGCCAACATTGCCTCACCTTAGAAGAGTTCCTGGAGCAGTACCGCTTAGCCACGCCAGCATCCCAGAAGACGAGGTCCATCACCCCCTGACGCCACAAATGATCGTCTTGAAAATAGCCAATTTACAAGCGCTGGCAAAACAGCCAGCTACGTCCTCAATTGGCCAGAACTATACACCAGCAGATAGTAGAACACCTCTTCTAGCACTGAGGACATGTCCCCCATCTTCCTTTTGGGGTTTTCTTGAAATAAACTTTTTTGAATTTTTCCACTCGACCATGCTGAAATACGGCCAAAGTCATACCTGCGCAGGAAAGCTCGCTACTCCGCGACGTCTCCTCAGCAATTTCTACTCCAACACTACTCCCAAGGCCGCAGAACAAAGTGTAGTGTTGACTCTGACAAGGAAAAGCAGCGGTGATCACTTGTCACTCCAAACGACAAGCTTCTCCTTGCGCCACCAATAATTTTTTGTGCGACTGTTGATGCAAAAGTGACTGAAGGCCTGAGCGCAGTTTTTGAATTTTATTGCAAGATGCACGGTGAGATCGCGTGCTCTGTGACGTAGGATGACGCTTCCTGCATCACGTAACGTCGTTACGCGGCCATCGATCGCGAATGTGCCTGGAACGCTACTCGGAACAGACCATGATGGCAGAGGTAAGATGAGCTTCCATTTCCTGCTTGAACTGCTGAGAACCCCCACAAACTGTCCTAGGAGTGTTGCAATGGCAGCAAGCCGTTGAAATATGCCCCGTACAGCATGGAGAGTTATTCGTCTTTCACACTTACCTCCTGCAATCCCGAACATAGTTCAACAGTAAAA